ATATGGGGAGCTTCATACGAGCCTCCAAAGTGTTGTGGACGACAACAGGACTGACGCAAACACGCCAGTCCTCTCCCAACCAGATGGCGCGGCCCAGGTCTGTGGCCACGTGGTTGAGCACATAGTCATACGCGCAGTGATAACTGCGTGCGCGATTGGGGGACTCGAAGAGCCACCCGTGGATGATGCGCAACGCTATCGTCTGCACCCTCCCAGCCCTCTCCTTGGCGGCCTGCAGCTCGGACTCGTCTTCCATCTTCTGTAGAGGGATCGTGGAGTTAGGCAGCACGATGCTTTTTCTGATCTCCGGCGGCTTCACACCCTTCGCGATGGCCAGGAGGTGCAGGCGAGTTTCCTGTATCATCTTCACCAGCCCATGCCCCTCCGTCTCATTCCAGAAACGATGATCGTCGACCCACAGCCGTGCTTTCGTCTCCAGAGCCGCCATGCCTTCCGTTCGCCTCTGCCTGTTAATGAGCGGATCGTCGTTATCATCACCATCACAGCCGTCGCCCCCGCCTCCTCCCGCTCCCCCCGTCGACGTGCCAGTAATGGCACCCGCCGCCACGACATCCTTCGCCCCGCTGCACACGGGGGGCTGGGGCCTGGTTGCTGCAGTCACCGCCGCCCCCTCCTCCCTTCTCGCTTGTCCCGCTGCTGGCATCGCCTGGGTCGACGATGCCCGCAGCGGCTGCTGTCTGCCAATGTCATGCGCCGCGGGGACGTCCCTTGCTTGCACGGGGTTGCGCGTCGTCGGGGTCAATTGGCGGCCCCGATCGTCCCTGCCACCACCAGCGGCTGCCACGTCGCCCCCTGCGTCGTTGTCACCACGCGCGACGTTCATGCCTTCCCCTTTAATGCCGCCTTTGCCCCCTTCATCTCCGCTGATCTTTCGCGCGGCGGTTTGTTCGCGCGAGCTCCCTTTGACGCCATGAAACGTGTCCGCCTCCGATTCGAAATCGTCGTCCTCGTCGTTGCTGCCCTCCGTGATCCACTCTTCCCGCGCGGCCCTGCCAATTACCAGGGCGCCGCCGCCTGAGGCCTTCGCCTTCTTCGCCTGATGCCTCCCCCGCTTGACGGCGGTAGCAGCTTCGCCCTGATTAGACTCCCTCCCCCTTTTCCCGTCATCGCTGTGAAGACGAATGACGTCGATGGCGGACAGCTGGTGGAGGAGACTGGTGAGGGCCGCACAACCTGCCGCTATCTGCGTTTGATTGAACAGACGCCAGACGCGCAGACGACGCGTATCTCACGGCGACACTGACGACCCGACTGCCACGCACTCGCCGCAACGCCGCCTTGTCGAACAACCACGAAGACGCGCGCTGCGCAAGTTGGAATGACGACAATGTGTCCAAGCGAATTCGACGACGAAGACGAACACGACGTCCGGAGAGAAGGAGGTGTGTCGACGAGGTGTCCAGGCGCAGTTCGCGACGATGACCGACACGGCGTCCGGCTGAAAGGAAGTAGGCGTGTCGCCTGGCCCAGCGCGCCGTCGACTGCCCTGCAATGCGCCGTGCGACAACGCCGCCAGGAATGCATGGACTGGACTGCTTGGTTCTCTGATCGGTGGATGGGCGCCCGCGAAGTTTATAACGTGAAGGCGCACGTGTCGAAGGCACCGTTTGGCGGTACGGATCAGGGGCCGTCTACTGGTCGGTGATGTGGTCGCGGGTGGGGGCAGGCCGAAGGGGATGCCTTCGCGGGATCAATGCGTTCGCATCCCTTTGTCCCTCACATGTGCTGTCATTGAGCAGTATCCCCTGAAACACACCCGCGAGGCGATGAACACCCCCGCCATCACATGAAGGCGGAACGCCGAAAAAATAAAATAAAAAATTACCACCCCCTACCACCCAGCCCATTGGAGCCTCACAGACAGACATGCACAAAGACGTCTGCATTGGAAGGCGCCCTTTGAATGCCATGCCGCATATAGCGTTGGCCAAAGAAAGGAGGTCGTTTCAGTACACAGATGTTCGTCGCAAGAACGCAAACATAAAGCAACATCAAAAAATAAAATTAACAAACAAGGAAAAAATACCAAAAAAAAAAAAAAAAACCAAGTTATCCTCAACACACTACCAGAAATTGATCCAAAGGACCTATACATAACAAATCTCTCTCTCTCTCTCTACATTAAATGTCTCTCTCTCTCTCCCTCTCTCTCTCTCTCTCTCTCTCTCTCTCTCTCTCTCTCTCATCCATGGAAAAAAACGAGGTACGAGCAACGTCCACATCCATCTGCCTGCGGTCGACGACAGCGGATTCACAATGATGTGACGGCTACAGCCGACCAATGACCTCCAGCGGTCGCACGTGTCTACCGTTCTCGTATAGCCTTCGCTATTTCCATCAGCGCCTGGCACATAAGCTTGCTAACTTCAGTGGAGGCAGCACAATGTTGTTTCTGGATCTCCACCTCCGCTTCGATAGCTTCGCACTGCCGAATCTGGATGGAGCATTGCCTCTTGCTCGCGCTCTCCATCGTCTCGCA